TGTGTTATGTTTATACTGTATAGATGTGTTATGTTTATACTGTATAGATGTGTTATGTTTATACTGTATAGAGGTGTTATGTTTATATTGTATAGATGTATGTTTATACTGTATAGATGTGTTATGTTTATACTATATAGATGTGTTATGTTTATACCATATAGACGTGTTATGTTTATACTGTATAGATGTGTTATGTTTATACTGTATAGAGGTGTTATGTTTATACTGTATAGAGGTGTTATGTTTATACTGTATAGAGGTGTTATGTTTAACTGTATAGAGGTGTTATGTTTAGTAGGTGTTACGTTTATATTGTATAGATGTATGTTTATACTGTATAGATGTGTTATGTTTATACTGTATAGAGGTGTTATGTTTATACTGTATAGATGTGTTATGTTTATATTGTATAGACGTGTTATGTTTATATTGTATAGATGTATGTTTATATTGTATAGATGTATGTTTATATTGTATAGATGTATGTTTATACTGTATTGATGTGTTACATTTATACTGTATTGATGTGTTATGTTTACAATGTATAGATGTGTTATGTTTACAATGTATAGATGTGTTATGTTTATACTGTATAGATGTGTTATGTTTATACTGTATAGATGTGTTATCTTTGTACTGTATTGATGTGTTATGTTTATACTGTATAAATGTGCTATGTTTATACTGTATAGATGTGCTATGTTTATACTGTATAGATGTGTTATGTTTATGCTGTATTGATGTGTTATGTTTATGCTGTATTGATGTGTTATGTTTATGCTGTATTGATGTGTTATGTTTATGCTGTATTGATGTGTTATGTTTATTGTTTGTTTGTTTTTTGAATTTTGCGCAAAGCTACACGAGGGCTATCTGCACTAGCCGTCCCTAATTTAGCAGTGTAAGACTAGAGGGAGGGCAGCTAGTCATCACCACCCACCGACAAGTCTTGGGCTACTCTTTTACCAACGAATAGTGGGATTGACCGTCACATTATAACGCCCCCACAGCTGATGGTGAGAAGTTTGTTCATTACCTGGTGATGAAGATATTATAAAAACATCCATTGGATGAAACTAAAGTAACTAATGGTGAGTAGTTTGTTCATTACCTGGTGATGATGATATTATGAAAAAATCCATTGGATGAAACTAAACTAACTGATGGTGAGTAGTTTGTTCATTACCTGGTGATGAAGATATTATAAAAACATCCATTGGATGAAACTAAACTAACAGATGGTGAGTAGTTTGTTCATTACCTGGTGATGAAGATATTATAAAAACATCCATTGGATGAAACTAAAGTAACCGATGGTGAGTAGTTTGTTCATTACCTGGTGATGAAGATATTATAAAAACATACATTGGATGAAACTAAAGTAACCGATGGTGAGTAGTTTGTTCATTACCTGGTGATGAAGATATTATAAAAACATACA